CCAACCCATGTGGTCTTCTTTTGGTTGTTGAACAAAAACGAGTCTTCTGAACCAGACTTGGTGTAGAAAGGCCAGAGGTTTCAAAACTTATCCAATGGGGTTCAAATGTGGATATGTTATAGTAGACACCCATTGAAACAACTTCTATGAAGAAAGTATTCCCATCGGAGCAGTAAAAGTGTGCGTTTTGGGCCTTACAATTTGACTGCCGAACAGAGACTGGAATTGACTTCATTTCATTTATGCTTTACATGCATGCACATGCTTTCTCTTTAATAGCTCCATTATGTACCAACTTGCTCCTTTAGAATTTCATAGCTGGAATGCCTCCCTACTTCACTCATTATGTTGGGTACAAAGTCAGTTATAGTTGGGGTGAGGCACATGGCTAAAAGGAGGCACATGGCAAAAAGCTGGCAGCTGCAAATCCTCCTGAGCAAGGTTGAGTGTTGGACGGGCTAAGCACTCCAAATATGTTCAATTGGGCTGAAATTTGGATATGTTGTACTAGACACCCATTGGAACAAGTTTCATGAAGATCTTCACCTCATCCGAGCCCCAGAGCATGCTAATCCAAGGCCAAGAAGTTGACCTACGAAACTGGGCTGGCAAGGGTTTGTAGCCAAAATTAGTTTGTCTTTAAGCTCTTCTTCCATTCACCAAAATCAGGCCTTAACATGCATGGATTGCATCATTTCCTATCCAAATCCATCATTGTTACGTAAAGCTCAATGAGCTGAAAGATAAACACAAAAAGGATTAAAAGCACAAGTTTAACTCAAAAACATAACCAAATCATAAGCTAGAAGGGTACGAAATGATATACAATTATGAACCGATCAGTCAACTTAGGTGAAGAAGTGTTGGATCTCCAGCAGGGCGAGAAGGTTATGAACCTTCGGCACGGAGGGGTCCTGCATAAGAAAATAAAGAAGAAGCAATCGTCAAGGTTCAGGCACCGGTGTGGTACCTGCCAAAAGCTCTCCGATGCTTAAGTCAACAAAAGTGGGATATATGGTAATTTTGGCAGACTAACAGTAAAGGTAAAAAGTAGTTACCCTTTTTACTTGGGCACTGTTCTCTATTTATAGGGCAATGAAGATGAGAGTTTTGCACAAAGTTTTGACGTGGGACTTTGTGCAAACTGCTATGGAGGCGACACGTGTCCATGGTCTTAGGTTCTGTAGTTGAGAGCATCGGCAGGTGGCTACCGCTTCAGAAAGAGGTCCTCCTTCGGTAGGATAAGAAGGTGGCGATGTCACTCGCACTCTAAGGGCTTGTCTGAATGTCTTTCGGGGTGTCTCTTTCTTTTTGGCAGCCAGCGTGCCTGCCTAGGTACCAGTCTTCTAATGCCGAATGCGTTCAATTGATTATGGTGTAAACCAAACTCACAATTTTTGGTCATGATGAGCAAATACGAAGAAATGGAGCTGACGAAGCGTTCGTTCTTATGTTGTGTTAGAGAGGAAGAGTGAAGGAGAAGAAGAAAAGAGAACCCTTTTCTAACTTCTAGGACATTCGTTTCTGTACATGATAGCTGAGGTAAGAGAAAGGCGTCGGTGCTCAAACTTATGGATTAAAGCAACCTCTGTATTTATACGCTGAGCCTGAGACTGCCTGCCTGATTAAAAGCTTGAGTAAGAATTAGGGAAACTGGTGGCTTTGTAATCACCTAAGTAAACATTGGTAAATGTTTATTTTTTTCAGACTCAAGTTAGAAAATGTTCTTACGATGCAGACTATTATTTAAGTTCCAGCTGGAAAGAAAATTGGAATTGTATTCAAGCATTTCAAGATATTTGGGTAATTTATTACAAAATATTATTACACTCTGATCGTTTGAGCTTAGCTTATGCCCTGCATGAATGAATCATGGCAGTCCCAATCAACTTCAAATAAATGGTTGAAAAAGTAAATAAAGTTAATCTAGGAATGATGCCATTTACAGTGACATTAAAGAGTAGGATTATAATTACAATGAGTTTGCATAGCCAGTTATCTTCATTGAAAATTCCATTTATACAGAGAAGAAATCTAATAAATTTCCAATTATTCTAGCTAAAAGCATTTTGCTCGTTATTTTTAGATTATGTTTTGTGAAGTAGTTCTACACCTTACATAGTTAATGTAAAGGTTCCAAAATTCGTTATTAACTTGTTACACAGTTTGAAAGGTCTAGACCTCACATAGTTATTTAAGGTACATGATGATTTTGTTTTGGGGTTCCTTGGTGCAGGATGCATGTCACTTTTAGAGTGGCTTATAGAGTTCCATTGGCTTATAAGAAGTCTTTTTCCAAGGTATGAAATACAAGTACTTTATCTCATATAATAGCAACAAACATCAAAACCAGTCTCAAACATTCTCAGCTTAGCATAAGCCTGTAACAGAAAATCAAACACAAATGGGTTTGAAGCAGTAACCTCATAACTACTAAGCAATGAATCCACAACTGAAAATTTGGAACCATTTTCAGCAGTTTTCTTCAGAACTGATTCAAGCAAAGCTCTAGCATCCATGAGCAACCTGGCTCTGGCTAAAATATGAATGGTTATGGAGTAGGACCAAACCCCATGCTCAAAGCTTTTCCTGTGAGCTGCCCAGTGGAAGAAACCCAGAGCACGTTTTGCATCAATGGGTTCCTTCAATTCTAACAAAACACTCTCGACGAGCCCTCCATCCACTACAAGAAAAACAGGTATTAGTGGCCACCCACTTGGTCACAGAAACTACCTTTTTTGGTCACTGAATGCAATTAGTGTCCAAATATTGGTGGTCACTGGGTGGTCACTAGAAGCTCGTCACAAATTCTATTTAGTGGCCAATGTCAACTATTGGTCACTACAACACAAAGAATCAGTGGCTATCCTTGTCTGGTCACTAATAAAAACGCTATTAGGGACCACAACTTTGGTCACTAAAGGGCTGGCGTTTGGTCACCAAAACATGCACTTTGGTCACTGAAATTGGGTCACGTGCCCACATTAGTGACCCACTTGCTTGGGCACTAATGTATTTCAAAAAATTGGTAACTAATTAGATTTACCTCTCCATGTTCTTTATTTATTGTATTACAATATGAAATCACAATTAATTTCTTTTAAACAGTGCTGTAGATAAAATTTATAGCATAAAATAATTCATTGCATTCAAAAGCAATCCATATATCTAACATTCTTCCAACAAATTCACAAGATGTCTCAAAAACAAAATGCTACATATTTAAGTTCAACCTAAATGTCAAGTGATTCCCAAAAACAAATAACATAAGATTCATCACTAGTAGATTGTCTTCTGCCCTTTATCCATCAGACCTGCATCAAAAAAAGAATAATGTCAGTTCTTACTTGGGATGCACTAAACCAGGAATCAACTAAATGCAAGAATAATTAAACTCAAGAGCCAGCTAGTGCATCTTTTATTAATTAGTTGCTTAAAGTTTATCTAAATATGCTCAGTCAGGTTTATATAATGCCTTGGACAAAACTGTGTAACCATGGAAGAGAGCACTGAGACAGAAAAATATCAATTACCAAGACTTTTCTCAAAATGGAATCACTAAATGAATGAAGGCATGAGCATAATGCCAAGAAGAGGAACTAGATAAAGTGTCTCACCTTCCACTCATCTTTTTGCCATAATTGAAGTAGATAGTTCCAATCATCCTCTCCCACTATTTGAGGTCGATGCTCAAGTGCCTCCTGCTCAGATCCATATGCTCATCCTTGACAGCTCGTTCCCATTTCCTTTTGAACACCTTCATTTCGTTGTACGATTCTCTCCTCACCTACACACAAATACACAACAAACAATTTTAATCCAAGTAAAATCCTAATAAACTGAAAAAATTACATGTCAAGACTTACATCAACTCTGGTCCTACAAAATACTAATAACACATTAACTAGTCAGCCTCAAACAGACTGGAAATTTGCACCACAAAGACAGCAAACATTTTCTCACCTCATTTTCTTCTGAGCCTCCCAATGTAGGGCGACCATAATGGATTATGTACTCAGCATCCAGAACACCAACATTTTTAGTTCGATCGCCCTATTTAAATATCAAAACCAGAAAGGCCTCTTTAGGAAGCGTTAAGGAAATCCTTAGAAAAGAAAGCATAAAAAAAATGACATAACAAGTAAACTGAGAAGCTTGCCTGTGCACAATAGCCAAGCTGCATATCCACCCCATGCATGAATCAAGTCATTCTGCAAAGATCAAATCACAATTAACATCATTTCAATGTAATTTAGATTTGTTGTTTCTGTAATCCTATACATGAAAGGGAGAGTGAATGTGTGATGAATCAAGCTTGATTTACAGAGTATTAGGTATATCTTCTAACAACTTAAAAATTTTCTGATCAATGACATTGACAACTTAACACCATACACCTGACTAAAATATGAGCCTCATATTAGTTCAGCTAATTTGTTGTGCTTTCTCTTCTAAGGCCAATAGAAAAGCTATCTTGAAGTTCCAGGACAGTAGAAATAACACACCTGGATCATATGCCATACACAGCGCCAGGCAGCTCTCGAGAAAACAGGAGCCATCACTTCTATCCACCTGCAAAAATGCAGACTTTCATTTTAAGTTTCCTTCCTCGAGTAAGATTACTTCTGCAACTACAATAGTAACTGAACATAATTTTCTTAAAATAGCTCACACAGAGAAAACCATCCTTCACAAAATTTCATACAACACAAATTTCTAAGCTTTATTAATTCCTATAGGCACAATCGAAACGAGGACTTTAACTCAAAAGAATGGAGGCTCTTTGTTTTGGTTCATGTTATGATCATCAATTGGTCATTTTTTATGCACTGTGTATGTGATGTTACTACTATTGTATGACTATGGCTTTCTGCTCATATCAGGTGGAGACAAGGAACAAACAACAAAACCCTCTAAGCTTCTGGATGGATCCTCTGAGTTTGTACTCACTTATGAAGATAAAGAAGGAGATTGGATGCTTGTAGGAGATGTTCCTTGGGGGTATGCTTCTACCTTTAGTTATGAGTTTTGTTAAAAAGAAAATGGGATGGTGAACCTAAAAAAATAATGAGAGCAATGTGCTTAGTAACATCTAATTTGACATTCCACGAGTTTCCTTTTTCTGTTACTTTCTAGTAAACAATGCTGACAGTATGTTTCCTATTTCTATGGTATATATAGGATGTTCATCAGCTCAGTGAAAAGGCTTCATATCATGAGGACCTTGAGGCTAATGGACTTGGTATGCATTTAAAACCTACAAACCCCAATAGCATTTCAGATTACAATCAAGTAGAACACAAAACAATAGGAATAAGAGTAAAGAAAAAGCAAGAATGAAGATGAAAACCAATTAGGAATCAAATAGCTAGAGATTGAAGATTTCTTACCAGAGAAGCTGATGGTCTCAAAAGTTGATTTCAAAAAAGATCTCACTAGCCTCAAGGTCGTTTCTCAAAATCAAAACTTCTGCAACACAGATTAGGAAGTTAGGGCATCAAGCTTTTTGGAAACACACCTCAAAATCGAAATTCAAAGAGAAATCAGAACCCATTTTTACTTATATCTCCATTTTGATTTATGCCAAAAGAATGTTTCAATGAACTACATCTAATTCCCTACATAAACAATGAAAACAAAATCCCGAGCCATATAGTCGTCAAAGCAACCAGAACCCTTTTCTTATCTTCAATTCAAATCTAAAAACAGCCTATAATAAGCATAAAGTTTTCTTACCCGACAAAAACATTACTGAATTTCTGAAAGCATACAAGAGTAATAAAATAATATTTTCATCAAGTAAACCCAAAACACAAAACATACCCAAAACAAAATCATAGTTAGGAAAATTGATATCACAGTGGAACTCAAAATCACAGTGAATAGAGAATTAGGGAATTAGGGAATAGAGAATAGAGAATCAGAATCAGAGTCACAATCGCACTCAAATCAAACTCAAATGAAATCAAAACTTACATTGAAACCAAAGAGAAATAGAAAGCTCACATGATATTGGGAGAAAACCTAGAAATCGAAACCACAGAGACGAAAAGGACCACAAAGAGGACGCTCGCTCGATGAAGAAGATGGTCTCGCTCGCGCTGGTCTCTCGCTCTTGTCCCTCTCACTCTGAGCTCGCGCTGTTCTCGTTTGGATTTCGCTCGACTTGTTTCCTTTTGATGCGGTACACCGCACGCGAGCGCGTTTTGAAAATAAAAAATAAAAAAGTTTAAAAAAGAGTTAATTGGTCACTGATGTATTAAATGAGAGAAGTAAGGCTATCTTGGCATATGTGTTCTAAATGAGAGAAGTAAGGCTATCTTGGCATATGTGTTCGTCACTAACTATATAATTTAAGTTGTTTTCAGTGATTAATTTAAATAATGGTCAGAAAATTTGGTCATTAAAAATTAAAAAATAGGGGTAAATTATTTTATTGACCATGTAGTATTATTAGTCATTAAATTCAATATATTTGTGACCATTATTTATGTGGTCACAAGGAAATTGGTAACTACTGACCTTTTTTCTTGTAGTGATCTAATTTAATAGATTCAAATTTGGTCGTCAGAGTGTCCCAATTCCAACTGCTTCTGAATGACTCACGGATGGCTTTGGCAACATCTTTTGGTGCTGAGTCTGTATTGATCAGTCGGGTTTTCTGATTGATGGGTATGGGAATTAAAGATTTTGAAATTCGACGCAGCAAAAAAGCCATGGACTAAGATGAATGAAGCTCTCCTATTTTGTATATTTTCATGAAACCAAAAGTTGACAAAGTAGCCAAATTGCAGTTCGTATTGTAGTTTTTTTCTCTGAGTGTTCATGACCCAATCTCTTTTTTATTTTTTATTTTATTGAAGTCTCAATCTCGTTGAATGTATTGGTTATATAATTGTTTTTATAAATATTGGCTCTGTAATTTGATGTGTTTTTAATTAATCTTTTATGATGTTAAATGATCTAATAAACAATAAATTAGTTTTGAAATTTAAAAAAAAAAATTGAAGTTTAATGTTGTCCAGTATGGCCTTGTATCAAACAATGGACTATACTTAAGTCCAATCCATTCTGGTGCTTACCTAACAACTCAATAGGATTTGAAGTCTAATCCAATCAGACCCAAAAAAAAAAGAAAAAAAGAGTCTAATCCAATCCAAGCCATTTCAGTCCAAAATTCAATCCTGATCAATCCAGTCTAACCCACCAAACAAAGTTGATTGTAATTTGATGTAATTATAATGAAAAAATTTAACTTATGATGAGTGAGTTGCCGTTCTTAGCAATCAACTTCTCTAATTGAGACTGAAATTTGGAGATGCAGTGGGAGAAGAAGAAGAAAAGTGAGAAGATGATTGGTTTTGTAGAAAGAAACCCAAAAAGCGCGAGGACTGTAATCAGAGTTTCGAGGACTTAACTTAGGGCTGTCATTTCGTAAAAATAGTAATTAAAAGGAACCGGTCACTTCATCAAGTCCTCATTTGCTTTGAAAACCTCAGTTATTATTTTTTTTATTTTTATGATAAGCGTTAGAAATAATAAGCAGGGTTCCACAACTTTACCAAACACGTTAATGTGATCTTGTCATTGAAATGATGGCACCTTCTACAGTGCACCAGGTGCACCCATGCACCATTTGTCCTTTATGATGCTCCCAGATTTTTTAAAAAATTGGT